AGGACCGCAGGACCACGGACCACCGGACCAGAGGACCGGAGCCTGTCAGGACTCGAGCACCAGGCGAGGCCTTGGGCGCAGAGGGCAAACTACTACTACTACTACTACTACTACTACTACTACTACCACTACTAGTGCTACCACTACTACCACTACTACCACTACTACCCACTACTACCACTACTACCACTACTACCACCTACTACCTACTACCTACTACCTACTACCTACTACCTCCTACCTCCTACCTCCTACCTCCTACCTCCCGCCTGCCTGCCTGCCTGCCTGCCTACCTACCTACCTACCTACCTTCCTGCCTACTTAACTACTACTACTACTACTACTACTACTACTACTACTACTACGATGACTACTACGATGCTACTGACTACTTCATGTAGTATTTAACTTCATACGTGATGTGCTTCGCATCTGCTTTTTTAAACTCTAAACCCTTGCTTCCAGAGATGGACCGTTTTTGCCGACCGAACAAATCCGGTGAGAGCATTCCCGGCCGAGAAAGTCAACAGTCAAAATCCTTGCTGTCCTAATTATACGATATTTTTGAACCGATTATGTTGATAGGAATGAGCTGTGTGTTAAGGAATGCTTTGCACATGCTTTGCATGTTTTGTGTTAAATTTGGACATGGCTACTGTATGCCGAAGATCGGAGCCGGGCATGAGTCTGAGTTGAAGTTCGGATCTTTGGGGAGGGGGAGCGGGACGGGCAAACAAAAGAAGCCGACGGGAGAAGTAGTTGGTTTCACATACCAGTGCTATGATTTTTTCACCGTGCCATCTCTTGTTTCCGGGGTTTGAGGGCATGGAGTTTAGGGTGTGGTCTGTGAGCGTTTTAAGGGTTTGCATGGGGCTTGAAGTTTCGGGATTTCGGGTTTCCCAAGAGTCGGCATGCCTCCGGCCCCTAGCATTCAACCCATATCTCAACCAAATCTGGTTTCTGATTTTTGTATTTTGGTTTTACAATATCACGTGACTCAGCCTCCTGTTGTTCTTGGAGCTTGCGCTGTAGGTCATGGCAGTGGGAGTGGCTCGGGTGCTTGGCCTGTGGGGAGGCTGTGGTAGAGTCGAAGATTTCTTAATTAAGGATGTAGCTTCTGGCGGGTCAGGTTTGCTGGGTTTCTGTGGGTTGACACCGGGCTTGGCTCTGGGCCTGGCCTGTTTTGTGTTTGAGGAGCTCTTCTCAGGTTTGGCAGCTTCTGCTGCTGTTGCTGTTGCTGTTGCTGCTGAAATGCTGGTGATGATGATGGTAGTGGAGTCCATGATCAAATGGATAAACGATTGCAGCAGGACAAGTGTCTCATGCCATCGCCGTCCTGCTATCAGCCCAGCGACGACGGCAAGGTCTACTTCTTTGGCAGGCTGCTCGTTTCGGTTCGGCCTTGGTGTCCCTTGTTGGCCATTGCATTGCACCCCGGCCCCACTTCGACTCTCCTCAAAAGGTTTGCTGCCCAGACAGTAACCAGGATAGCACCTTCATCCTTATGCGTACCGCCTTCGTATGGGGCTTAAGCATGCCAACTAAAGAAAGGAGCAAAGCCAGGGAGGCAGTGCCCCTCCAAGCCTTGAGAGAAAAGGAGCGAGCGAAGTGAGGTAGGGGTTGGATCAGGGTTCTTCGTTTGGACCGGCCTTGCGGCGGCCAGTGCAGCTCTTGTGTTGTTCTCCTTGGCCACTGGGGGGACTGCCTGCGCTCTGCTGACACGTGCTTACGGTTGGATCGTTCGGGGCTTTCCTCTTTGTCCGGAATCCTTCTTCCAAAGTTGCCCGGAGAAGGACATTTACTTGCATGCCACATGTACCGGGATGAAACTTTCAGACGCGAGGGAAGCAGGCAAGAGGGCGCAGGAAAGGTCTAGGTGGAGGACACGTGCAGCCGGTAGAAACACCATTTAGGACACGTTGAGGATGAAAGAAAACGTCGCGCGTCCAGACATGTGTCGGCCTGTTCGCTTGTGGAATTTCGTGAATCATCCGGGCAGCTCGGAGCGATGGTCGGGACAGGCAGCTTGCACAGGGAACTCGTGCTTTCAACTGAATCATCGGGTATTTGTAATTGTACGTGTTGCCGAAGGGCAGCTTTTCATGATTGAGGAGCGTGGGCGGGGCCAGGAACTGGGAGCAGTCCCAGCCCCATCCCAACCAAAATCACACGTGCGGAGCGGTAGGCCGCAACCCAGCCTCACCGAGCAGGCACAGAGTGACTCTTTGCAGAGTAAGGGTTGGAAATGGAGAGGTTTCAGAATGCATCAGGATATTACTGGGTTTCAGACGAAAGTGGAGTGTGCACGGACCAATGGATTTCCCTTGCAGGGGCTGCATTCCATCGTTTCGCGACTGCTCCTATACATCCGACAGCTATTCGGAGCAGATGAAGCAGTTCTGGTGGTATACCAAAGACCGGTACCTGTGCAATGAGTACATGAACAACATGTACTTCGGTGACATTGCTGACCCCGACTTGAACCCGAAGTGTTTGATGCTTCACGACCAGCATCTGCACTTCGCACAGCCACAGAATGGCCACACCCCGCAGCAGATTGTCATCTCCAAAAAATCTACGGAGAGGCGCCTCGCTCGAAATATGGGTGCCGTCACTGTTCCATCTTGGACTATTCTTCGTCCTGCAGTGATTTTACAGTCCTGTGGAGTGGGTGCCCTGCCAGTTAACCAAGGTTCAAAATACTCTTGCATGGCGTCACGGGGCCGTATGGCGATGTTTGCCTGCAAAGCACTTCCGGTGGAAGCACCATCGACCAAGGTTCCAGCCTTTCTTGCATGCCGTCTGTCGGAGAGACATTGATGTCTTCAGCTAGGGGCCCAAACTGGAAGGTTGTTCACGGTTCAGTGAAGTCGCCAAACTGCCTCCACTCTGGAGCGCCCCAACAGAATATTCTCGGCTGGTGATGAAACTGGGGAATGGAATTATAGTGAGTCCCATAACGAGACAGGGTGGTGGAGCACTGTAGATGCTGCTGCAGCTGTGGAGGCCGCCGTCGCATGGCCCAGGAGGCCTTTGTCCGCGGCTACGAGGGTGGTCGCCGGAGACGGCGCTGCAGCAAAAACGGAGTGAAGACGTTTCGCATCTATCAGACGCCTGCCTGCTCTAGACCTAGGTTCTTGTTTGACTAGGACCATTCGGACCAGAGTTTGAATTGTTGAGGATCTGTAGATGGGGTCTGAGCTAGCCAGCCATCCTTTCGGTGGCTTGCAAATGCCTAGGAAGCTGGAGCCCGGGAACGGCCAGAACTACGAGAAGGAGGGAGAGCTTTGCGAAGCATAACTTACATGCTGTTTGCATCCTTTCCAGGAGAATGGAGACTCTCAGTTCAACAATGGATGCCGATGATGCTTTCCGCTTTCCTCAGCTATCATTCAACGCAGAAGCGGATACCAAACTGTCACCCGGCAAGACATGGTTTGGCAGCAGGGGTCAACGAGCGGGTCGTCATAGAGCTGGTCAAAACTATGCCGCTATGGATCGCTTGTCGTGAAAGTGGTGTTTGTTTTCTGCTGGGCATCTTTGCCTTTCTGTTTGTTTACTGGGTTTGCTCGGCATGAAGGCATGTTTCGACTGAGTCGAATCTCATCGAAATGCATGTGTCCTGTTTACGTGTGCATGGCACTTTTGACAGAGACGCGTGACAAAAAGATCGAGTGGGAGCTTTCTCGCGAGGCTCCATGGTTCCATGGCAGTCTTCGCTGACGACGGAACGAGTGAGAGCTGCGGACAGCATGCCTGTCGCAAAGCCATTCAAGCCTGCTACCAACTGTAAAGGTTGGCGCATGCGCTACAGATGTGGTGAGCAAGTTGCCAATCAGCTGTACAGAAACACTCGGCAGCTTCCTGTAGCATCTCCCTTTTCTGCAGCGTTCTGTGCGCCGCTTCGGAGATGTGATGGCCCGAAAGGTGCGTGTTGCATCATGTGTTTGGATGTCAATTTCATGCTCCTGCTTCGATTGGGTTGGGATGTTCGTTGGCAGCGAAAGCATGGGCCAGGTACGGAAGCTTGCTCGGGCCGTGGACTCAGGGAAGGGGTTCTGCAGTGTGCTTTTCTGACTCCGTGCCCCTTTCAGGATGTGAATGACCAGGAAGAGTTTGTTCGCTACCTGAATCAGGCAAGGCATGGGAGGATTTTTCAGGCGTGCATCAACACGGGCTACACATGACAGGTGGCTTTGCCAGTGCAGAAGCCGGTCCTGGAGCGATGGGGCTTCGAGGTGCAGATGGTCATTAGAGTCTGAGCGATGACGGTGGCGAAACGCAAGATGAGCTGGCCACTTTTCGGGCCGTTCGGGCTCAGGCAACAGAAATCGGCGTCACTGAGATGCGAAAGGCCATTCAGGACTCAGAGATGCGAGGTTCCATCATGTTCCATCAGAGTCCTCAGCACTGCATGCTTTGCACACCTTCGTTCATCTGGACACGTCCGTCATATTATATGTACAGGACCACACCGTAGGTGATGATGCCAAGCTCAAGAGGCTGGAGCTGCGCAGGTCTACAGACCATCATGGATGCATCAAGACGCGTCATGACATCGTGGCGCCCTCCGTGGCATTCCCGAGGCAAGCTCAAGCTACCACGCGTGCGCTGTATGGCGAGATGTACAACGCGGTCCGAGGTGACACAGCTGGAAGGGGCTCTTGTTTGACCTGAAATGTCAGAGTGTATTTACCTGCAGGTAAGACGGATCGGGAGCCGCAGCCTTGAGCTGGCGTTCTTGAGTTTCCTCGAGTGGACCGTTGACCTGACTGCTAGGCGAGGCGCTCCGACGTCGGCCTCCTTCGTCCCGGACTGGGTCTCATCCACATGGAGAGCAGATGATAGCAGAACTGTGCATGAGCTTTGCCGTACCACCTCGCGAGTCGAAGAATGAAATCGCGATACTTGTAGCGTATTCGCCTTACACGCTCAGGGCTGAATCAACCAATATAGCAGAACCAAAGTTTCAATTGGATAGACACGGATGCAATGAACAAGGCACTAGTTGTCGTGGGGTGGGGAGGATTCGAGCGGCGGGACAGGGCAGGTCAACGGGACTAGAGTGACTAGACGGCAATTGAGTGATTCTTTTGGGGTGAGTGGCTGCCGGCTCAGAGCATGCTTCAGAAACTTAGCACAAACAAGAGTGGAACAAACAACTTGTATCAGCAGATTGTCCAAGTTGTTGAACCGGTTGAGCGGCGCGACAGGTAATAGACTCCGAAGTTGAAGCGGGGGGGACACTTCGATAACATGGAGACAGAATTGGCAGAACATGAACACAGTGCATCCCAGAAGGAAACATGTTTGGTAGAATAGTACATGCAGCACTGAAGATCAAAGCATGAATCAAGAATTTCAACAGCGTCTGCCAAGGCTAAGCCCAGAACTAGCCTCATCACAGAAGTCGCAGCAAACAAGAAGGAAAACCCTCAAGCATTGGGCAGCCGCTCGAAGGAACACCTGAAACCGTGAGGTCTCAACACAATGGCTTCAGCAAATGGAAGCCGAAACCAGTGCAAAATACAAACTCCGGCACCTTAGGCCTGTATCTCAGTTTTCCATGGCCGACTGAGCCTTTCAGTGAAGGGGGGATGTCATCTGGCAATGCAATGAGCGCAAGAGCCTGTCTGTGATCGTGTACGGCCATCATGTCGTGTCATTGCACTTCAACTTACCTCTCAAACCTGCTGAGTAAAAGAACCATAGTTCGTGAGCGAGAAGAAAATTAAGACCGTTCCTTTTACGATAGTTGTCGTGAGCCCGATGGACATTCACCAGAATGCAGCTCGTGTATTCCGGACTGGAAGGAGAAGGAACGGCTAAAGCAAGCAGAGAAGAGGCTGCAACGGCGGTTGCGTGGAGAGGCCAGCGCGGCTTGATTCTAGCTGGACTAAGAGTGGGGAGATGCTTCATCAGGACCCCAATTCTGATGACGACTCCAAAAGCAAGGCCGCCTGGAGCATACTTTCTTATCCGTTTGCGACGGGGCACAGCTGCATTTGGCAAGGATGACCCGTCGCGGCTTTACGCACATTGGAGATCTCGTCCTGCACTTGGGCGGTTGCTGGTCGAGCCACTGAAGAGCAGTCACCAGATCGTGTGGCTGATTCACACTCGCATCTACAAGGCTAGCAGATGCCGTTGCAGCGTCAAACCTGTGTCGTGCTCAGTATATGAGGCAAGCCAAAATGGCGAAGTTTCAGTCGCTGCAAAGGAAGGATGATTGATGGCTTTGCCGGTGATTTTGTGATCGTCATCGCACCGTCGTCGAACTGGGGCAACGCTCGAATGCTGCTTGTAGTAACGACCACCGTTCTCGTCGGGGTTTTGTCGTCGTCGGTCGTCACCACCGCCATTATCAACAGCACCAGCGCCCTCATGAACCGTCATCCTCCATGCTAGTGGTGACGATACTGTTTCATCCTGATGATGGTGATGGTCACCGTCATAGTCATCATCATAGTCACCATCATCATCATCATCATCATCATCACGAGCATCAACACCATCGCTATCATCATTATCATCGCCGGGGCCCTGGTTGTGATGATGATTGCAATGATGGCCGTGGTCGGGATCATCAGCATCATCATCGTCATCATCATCACAACCATCAGCAGCAGCATTAGTATCAACATCATCACCATCATCATTGTCATCATCATCATCATCATCATCAGCAGCAGCTGGTCCTGGTCAGGTAATGGTTCTCATCACCGTCACCACCGTCATCACCATCAGCATCATCATCATCGTCATCAAGACGTCATCATCGTCATGATGATGATGATGATGATGATGATGATCAACATCATCATCCCATCATCACCCAGCATGATCGATGCCACGCCTGGATCATCAAGGAGGGTTCCTGGGCACAACGCTACCAACTGTCCACCGAGGCTGCTTGCTGTGAGCAGGTTTATTCTGCAAGATGACGACCTGGAACAGCGCTTGAGGCAAAATGACGTCTCCAGCATTAGCTGTCTGTTGTTGTTTGAGACTTCCCTTTTGTGGGGATGAGCCTAGCTGGAATTTGCTTAGTGAATCGCAGTCGGCTTCAGCCAATCGATGATAATCAAAAGGTGTTAACATGAATATCAGTCAGATATGACTGTGTGTCACACGTGGTAGCAGCACCAGACGGATCAGTCGTCTGCGATCGCGAACAGGATCACAGCCCCTCTAGTCTCCATGTGGATCTTGCAATGCACCGTGTGGTCCACGCTCCTGCTCTGCCATGATGTTGGCGTTCACGCGGTCATTTCTGCCGATCAATTTGATGTCGTCAGTGTGCTGCCAAACAATTATGATAAAGTGGAGAACAAAAGATCATGAGTAATATATAGGTCGGTCGGCAGAGGCGCCTGAGTTGGGGTGGAGCGGGTTGGCTCGGGAGTCTGTCAACTGGCGGGGCTGCAGGAAACGGCTCAGGGTCTGGACGCAAGCGGTCCGAGTGACGGTCGAGCGCTGATGCGAGGGCATGGCCACCGAAGGCGACAGGAGGTAGCCATCCGGCTCACGCAGGTGACGCACTGCCCAGCCGGCATGCACGAGAGAGCCATGGGGTAGGGCCGCATCGTGGATGCGCGCGACGAGATCGGGCAGATGGCGTGCATTTGCTGGGGCGGTTTCGGCAGTTCGGGCGAGCACTCAGCGGTGAAGTTCCAGGTAGACAGTCTAGTGACACGGTCAAACTCCTAGCGCAAGTGGGGGGGGGGGTGTGTCCGGGTGACTGGAGACGAGAAAAGCGGCTTTATGGTTCCTGGATTGTTGTTTTTTGTGCGAGGGACCATTGCGCGGGTTCTCAAAGCAGGTGTCACTGCAATATGTCGTCCAGCGACTGCAGAGGAGCAAAACTGCGCTCCAGCTCGGTGCACGCAGGTCCAGCTATGCTGCTGTCGGATGACTAGCCGCTTTGCTTGTGATGTCGTCGGTGAGCCCGTGCAGCGCGAGCCCAACGCAGCTGCGCCATGGCCGGCACCAACGTAATGATACCCTCCTAGCAGCCGCGGCGATGCGCGTGCGCGCGTCTACAGCGCGCGGTGGCGCCGGGTGTGGCCCCGCCGAGGGCGAGGGCGTGGGCGCCACACCGCCGCCGCAGTTCCCGAACCCCCCGCGCTACCGCGCCCGAAGCCCGTCCCGAGGCGAGGCCGCAAGCAAGCGCACTCCAGCCCGACCGGCATGCGACGCCAGCAGGTCAACTCGGCTTGGATGCGTAGACTTGCCGTCCACCTGCCGACAGCGCGTCCTTATGCTGCAGTCGGCCCCTCCGCGCATCCGGGGTGCCCGCTCCACCGCGCATCCGGGGTGCCCTCCGCACCGCACTGCGAGCCGCACCCTGCATGTGCTGAGGACGAAGTGCGCGGTTGGAAGCTGTTCTGCCTGGCGCCGCGCATGCTGCGCCGGAGTTGGGTTGCTCTTTCGCACGAAGCGGCCGCCGCTGTCACACCTGCGCCGAACACGCGACACAGTGAAATTGCCTGGGCCAGACGCGCAATGTCTCTCATCCACCTCGGTATAAGCTCTCCGCCGCCGCCCGAGCCCTCACTGCTGAGCCCTTCGCACACGGCACGCGCGACACTCTCGCCGAACTTCGCGACCCTGTGAAAGGCGACCACCCAGCCCACTCCCTACGCGCCAGAAACGGCAGCCGCACTCCGGCATGTGCCTGAAGAGCACTGCCCTCTGCCCTTGCCGGCTTTCCTTGACGGTTTGCGTGCTGCGCCACGCGGCTCTGCTGCTGGACCTTTTAGCGCTACCAACGAGCAACTCCGCATCCTCCTCGATAATGAGGAGGATGCCCAATTGCTGCACGGCGCCGCCCTTCGGCTTGCCCGCGCGGAACTCCCCCCAGCTGTGCTCGAGGGTTTTCGGGTCGGCCGCCTGGTCGCGCTCCGAAAGCCCAACGGAAGGGTCCGAGCCCTGGTTGTCGGTGATGCCTTCCGGCGACTCGTTGGCCGCGTGCTCGCAAGGCACTTTGCATCGCAGTTCCAGGAAGCGTGCATGCCACACCAGTACGGCCTCAGCACCCGCACTGGAACAAAAGCTATCTGCCGTTTAATCCGCGCTGCCACCGAAGCGTGCCCACACGCCACCATTTTCATTTGATGCCGTCGGCGCTTGACGTGGCGCGATGCTCGGGGCGCGGCTTGCCCGACGCGAGCTCCACCCGCTCCTCCCTTTCGCTCGACAATTCTATTCTTCTCCGAGCGTCTACACGTGGTGCGATGACGACGGGTGCCCGCATGAGGTGGGGCAGGGCTAAGGCGGCGAACAAGGCGACCCCTGATGCCCGCCTTTTGTGCCTTGGCGCAGCATGACGCGCTCTGCGACTTGCAACGCCAGCTTCGCGATGGTGAGGCGGGGTTCGCCTTTCTCGATGACGTCTACATTGTCGCCTTGCCTGAAAGGATTCGTGCTCTGTACGATGCTCTCAGCAACGCCATGTGGGACCGTGCGCGAATCCGCCTCCACGAAGTAGGCAAGACTCGCATCTGGAATGCTGCCGGGAGGGACCCGCCTGCAGTCGCCGACCTCGAAGGTGACGCCCACGAGCCGGTCTGGGTCGGAGACAGGTCCCGCCCGCTCGAACGCCAAGGCTCCACCGTGCTGGGATCTCCTCTCGGCCACGACGTTTTCATACGTTTTTTTTGCCCATCATTTCCAGAGCAATCTCGTTGAGCATGACCGCGTATGGCAGCGCATCCCTCACCTTGATGACCTGCAGGCCGCGTGGCTGCAAGAATGGAGCAACCCGAGCCAACTACTTGCTGCACATACCCACATACCTGATAGCTACTTAAGCAACAGACCACGACTCGGCCATCGCGCAGTGCCTCGCTAACTTGCTGGAGCTCGACGCCCCCTTGACCCTTTGCACAGTACGGGCAGCATGGGCAGCCCAAATCCCGCAACGGTTCGGTGGGCTCGGCCATGCTCGGCCTGCGTTGTGCCAGCTCCGACCGCCACGCAGCTCACTGGCGTCTTGGTGCGATACCCTCCCTGTCGTCCAGGCCCGCGCGCCCGGCTCTGCTGACCGCCCACTCCGAGGGCTGCGCAGCGAGAGCGTCCTGCTTTGCGCCACGGCTGCGATCCTCGCGCCTTTGACGCCCCGGATTGGTCTGCGAGCCCCGCACCCCTGACGTTGGCCGTTCGAGGGCTGGCAGCGACTCGCTGTCCACGCTTGCGACAAGCGCGCGTACGAGATGCATCCTCCTGACCTTACACATGCTTTTCGAGCGTTGCTGCTGTCCCAAGTTGGGCCTTTCGCCGCCCGCGCGTTGGACGTCACACCCACGCCGGATGACGTTACCCTGCCGCTGTAGAGCACGCCGTCGTGCGAGTTTGCCCGGGAGGCTGGCGCCAGGGTTGCCCGCAACGTCAGGCTTGCAGACATGAATGCCGATGTGCCGGTCGCCGACACGCGGCGCATTGAAGTTGTCGCGAACGGTCTCCCTCTGGCACGGGTCTCAACTCGAAATCGTGTCGCCCCTTACGCGGCTTGGCGAGGCCCACCCCCGTGCCGATGTCCAGCCCGGCTGCGCTGTCATTGGCGCCGCGCGACATCCAACTTACTCTGAACTCGCCTGCGCCCGGCGATGCCGCCTCGTCGTTGTCGGCGTCGAGATTGGAGGCAGGTTGGCACTGAGACGGTGCAGCTCGTGCGCTTGCTCGCGTGATATAAGGCGACGGCCCTTCCTGCCGCCTCCAGAATCACCGCCCGGGTCGCGCTCTGGTCCGGGCGGGCTCTTGGCAGTCGCAACTCAACGCGCTTTTGGCCTTTCTCCACGAGCGCCCCCCCGCTTCTGAACTCGGAGAAGGCCCAGACCCCGAGTTGCACGAACTCCTCGCCGAAGCAGGCTGGGATCACGCCAAGCAGGCTTTGTCCTCCACTAGCTGCGCCGGCGCTGCAGTGCAGGGCGCCCCGGAAACGGGACCCTAAGCGTCGCGAACTCACTTGCGTTGAAAAAGTTGTGTTGGAAACAGAGGAGGATGCGTCATAACTTTTTTCCCAAAAACCCCTCTGGGGTTGGGTTCTCGTTCAGAACGGCAAGCCGCGAGAGCGCGATAACGAAGCAGACGCGTCCGGGAAGAGCAAACGAAGAGG